TCAGTGCTTTCTGTTCTTATTATCACTCTAGCATTAAATACAAGAAACTCAGTGATGATTGCAAACACATATTTCCTCTGGAAGCACCTGTATGTGGTGACAACACTTGCCATTTGTCTTCCCTGTGAGCTTTCTCAGAGGAGTCCATCTTTACAGTGCAGCATCTTTTTAGGCAGGCATTTTCTAAACCAGCATCTTATGCATTATACATGAGATAACAGCCATGATAAATAAAAAAGGGTGTTGCTGAACTAGAAAATGGAACCCTACTGGTTTGTTAATTGTCAGTTCCAAAGGTATAAATTTAGCTAATCAACAGCTACCTTCTCTAAACAAACGTATGCTTGTTACTCCATAACAGAACACCTGACAGCACGGGTCTCATGGGTACTGGGTCAGATCTAGAGCATGTTTGGGTCAGAATTCATGTCCTGCTTCGTTCACTACCTGTTGCTTTAAAATGAATTGGGAGAATACCGTGGCAAACACACATGGAATAATTTTCTCCACAAATAGTTGATTATTTTGGCTAAGATTAACTTTGTCTCCTCACTACAAGGTTTCATATGCTGCCCAAACTTCTTGACAGCATTAGCTACTGCAGCATTGCTGATTTTCTTAGTCACAGAAATTTTCAGGTCATCTTGAACCTTGCTAAGATTTACTCTTTGGATTAAGCCTGTGCAGGAGATCCAGGCAGAGCTACCTGTGTGTTATTTGTGGTTTGAGAAGTTTCCTATGGTCCTGACAGTTAAGGGCTACAGAATTGTCCCTCCTAGATCTCTTTTCTGTCTCTCTGTGCTAGATGTCAATCCATGACACAACTTTGCTTTTAAGACTAGTTTTACATTCACAAACTGAAAAAAATTAGATTATTTCCCCCCTTTTTACGTCATCTTTATACAAAGGTGATACAAAAATCTGGTTAGAAAGAGTAAAAATTTCCTCTCCTCTTTATGAAATACTGTTATTAAGAATAATTTGAATTCTTAGTGTAACCAGGCTATATGAAGAACTAGAGCAGCATGTATGCAATGTTTAGCTTTGTTTACATTAGTGTTGTCTTTATAATAAAAGAAACCAGAAAAAATAAGAAATACAGGTCTAATGTCTTAAATTTTCATTCTGTATTTTACATTTTCAGTGACTTCTCTGTGTTGAACACCCTGTTTACTAAAATAAATATTTTTAAAGCTTTCTTAGACAGCTCCCTCCCCAGGTAAATGTTGGGGGCGGGGTGGGGGGAAGGGTGGAAGTCTAGAGCTATATGATTTAAGCATTTTGAATGGACATAAGCTTGCAAGTCTGTGAGCAATTATTCAGACTGCAATTTTAAATATCTGTCTCCTAAACTACAAAACCGGGACGATGCTGTCTGACAATTTATGAAAACCCATTCAAAATTTTGAAATTATTGTGTTTGTTTTGTTTTATTGAAAAACACACCAAGCTAAGCTGCTTTCAGCTGCTTGTTCTGATTCCTGTGCTACCTCCCAAGTTGTGCCAGTCTGAATGCTTGCGTCACTGGGGGAAGAATGAAGTCTAGGATTGATTTCAGTTTAAAATAACCCTTTTTTCCCCCTGAGGGTGCTGAAAAATGCATTTGTCAAGTTCCAGCCTAAGGGATTTCTATTGGCATGGTAAGAAAGGCAAGACTTAGCGAGCCTGTGCAGCCCAGCAAGCAAAGAGGAAGGTGGTAAATGCTGCCACGGGAGAACAAGTTTTTTAAGCAGACTTTGTATTGGAAAAGTAGACTTGGATTTATGAATTTATGAGCAGTGGGGCTATGGCAGGGGTATTCTCCCTGTGGCCATTGAGAGACAACTCGTGTGTGCTCCTTACAAATAAACCTGATTACACGCAGTGAAATACCTGCCACTGGTCATCCATTCCTCCCCACAGAGGGAGCAGCCTGGCAGTCCCCAAACCCCAACCAGCCATTCCTGAGGGAAGGGTCCCCATCGCATTCATGGGCATTTAATAACCACCCAGAAACCCAGGTTTTGGGAATGGAGCCTTTAGAATATTGGAGCCTTGCCAGTTCATTTGAAAGTAAAACATGTATTTGACAGAGCATTGAGGTGGGATCTGCTGTTTCCCCTGGCCTAAAGAGGCCCACAGACTTTTGGCAGGGGTGCCATGAATGAGAAGATGAGAATGAAAACATTACTGAACAACATTAATTTAAATGTCTACAGTGATTTAACAACACTGATATAAACTGAAGTTCTACCATGAAAGACCAAGGAGATTATTTACCAAACCCCTGTTGTGAGGATGGCATAAATACCTCAACAGTTTGCTTGTTTTAAACCACACTGAGACAAGACCCTCAGTATTGCCACCCTGCTGGCTTTTGAATTAACTCTTAATTGAGTTAACTCCATTTTTGTGTACTGAGGCAAATCCCAAATAGCAATGCAAAAATATTTGCTATTTTAAAAGCAACCCTGTGTTCCTAATCCTTTTTAAACATAATATCTGTTTTGCAATCGTCATTTTGTGTTATATATCTAGTCTATAAAATAGGTGTTGCTTTATGGATTGCCAACAAATCTCGTGCTCTGAACACCACTGCTTATGTATTCTCACTGTAATTTCTTCTTGGTGTTCATACATAAAGGGCAAGTCACCAAAGCCATTAAACTGTTGCCCACTGTCTAAATCATCTATTTGCTAATGAAAATGAATTCTAAAATAGTTTCTTAATTTCAGAATAGCAAACATATTACAGGATAAAATAAAAAATCTTTTTGTCTAGTATTGGTGACCACTAGGTCATCCATATAAAAATATAGTAGTGATACTGGAAGGCTCAAATACTGACACCTGGTTTATATTTGACAAGTGTTGCAAAAAAGGGCACATCCTTGCAATGCAGGATGCAGCAAGTATGCTCAGGCTGCAAAGTAACAGCGACAAAAATGATCCAGATATACCATTTTCAGGATTGAGATTTTCCATCTGCCTCTGGAAACGGATTAATGTAAGAAAAAGTTTTCTGTTCAAGACCAAAAGATGCAACACAATCTGATAAATGAACAATTGGACTTAATAACAAAATGGCTTTTTAGCTGACAGATCATTTACCAAACAATTTAGTCAGAGGCCAGATGGCCAAAGAGATACATGGTGGAAAGCAATTTCATATGATGACCCCACAGAAGGAAAAACTCATCATTTGGATGTTTGAAATGTCAAAGGCTCAATTAATGGAATTAGTGTGTGATTCCTGCAGTTTGCCTGTTGAAAGCTGTGCTCAAGCTTTTTCTCAGAGCTCCACTGCAAAGTGAAGCAGTGGACTCCTGGCTGAGAGCTCTGACTCACACGTGGCTCACTGCCTCTCATCTCCCTTCCTGACAGCTGCTTTTGTCTACAACATCAGCCTGTGCCACTTACTGCTCTGCACCAGGCATTTTTTTGCCTCTCCTCTGGTCCTGTGGACTGATAGGGAGAGGTAAGACCTAAAACATAACTGGGTGGGGAATTCTGGGAGATGCAGGAGAGGTGAAGTTTGCTGTTGCCTTACTGAAGTTGCATCTAAACTTAGACACAGGAACAACATCAGTTTTTATATCTAGCAGAAAAGGCAGTTTCCAAAGACAGAAGTATTTTTTTAAAAATAAATTATAATATAATATTTTCAAGTTTCAGCTCAATTTTTTTTCTATCAAAAACTAGACGACATCACTATTAGTAACCACCAGTACAAGTTAAAGTGTCTTTGGAATACTCTGCCTCCATCTTCTGACTGCTGAGGGAAATGCAGTGACTAGTTTGTATTCAGACTTCTTAAATCACAGAATCATAGAATGGCTTGTGTCAGAAGACATCTTAAAGACCTTCTAGTTTCACAAAATTTTATATATTTTCAAGACCAAGGCTTTGAATATTTGGGTGAAACTTTATTGAGTCCAGTCATTGCCTTTGCTAGCTAATACTGACAAATGTTGCTTTCTACTGACAAATCATATTTTCTTACACATTTCTGAAAAAGAATTCAGGACTTTGCTTCCTTGTAAATATCTTTAATACAGCTCTTGAATTCCTACCTGATTAATATAGAAGATTTTGATGACACAATGTCACTTCATACAGCAATGGCTTGTCATTGGTTTTTCACATACTTTTTTTCTCCTTTAGTGTCTGTGACTCCTTAATTTTTCTAGGTTTGACACCTGCATTACCAGTTAGTAAATTTGCCTTCTTTGTTTATCTTTTTAACATAAAGCTCTTCATAAATAAGCTTTGACAAAAACTAAATTGAGAGCAACAGTCATGCATCCCACTTACTCCTTATATTTGGATTTCAGACCCATTGTTGCAACCAGATGTTGAGTGCTCTGCACCCACCATAAATGTAATTTTTGTTAATGCATTAAGATGGGAAAATTCATCTATGCTGTCCAATATCATATTGTATGATCATGTGTATCCACACAGCTAGACCAAAAAGCAAATTACTCATTTATTTGATTGCTGATAGACAAAACAGCATGAAATAATTTTTTTTTTAATTTCTCAACTTCAAATGAAAAAAATATTCAAGGCAAGGCCATGCATAGAGCACCCTTTCCATCCATATTGGTCTCATCTGTTATGCTCACATCTAACCTCTTCATTTCCCAGAACTGGAACAGATTTAAGGGGGTCTTCTCTGGATCCTACGTTCAACTCTTGGTTGAGTTGAGGCGTGTGTGTAGAGAAGTCAGTGGAGACCTGCAGGTGACAAAAATCTACTGACATGCTGCACTCATTGACTTTTTCCCAAGATTTCCTGAGCCAATGTTTCTCAGAGCAGTGGACCATAGGAAAAAGGCCAAATGATGTCAAATGTGAGGATGAAGATGCCACAGGAAGGTAGACTGCTCTCACTGTGGTACTGTACCATACCTTGCATCACTGACACGATCACAAAATGAGGCAAAATAGAGGGACACCAGAGCCAGCTGCAAATTGCTGCTCAGTATTAAATGCCCTATCTCATGTGTCCCTACTAGGTCTTCTGGAGGATGGGAAATTGGCTCACACAGGTGTATCTACAGCATCAGCCACAGCTGGAATGCTGAACCCTGAGAAGAGGAGCAACTGTGGCTCTCAGTGTGCAAACCCCATAGTTCACAGCATTGGAACTGCAACACAGAGACAGAATGGCTTCAGGACCACAGAGGTATGAGCATAATTATGTTCCCTAATGCCCAGCACTAGCTTCAACCAGGTCTAAATTACTTTTGTGACAGCTTTTCTCTTTGCAGTGAAACTGTATTCAATGTCTTGAAATATGAGAAATTTGTGCCAGGCTGCACTACAGGCATGGCATGATTGAGCTGAGCACCTCTGGAAATGCTTCATGCCTGAACAGCCACAGAATTGATGATTTATTTGTCAATCAGAGTAACACACACACACATGCTACAGTGAAAAACAGCCCCCACACTCATTTGTTTCCAACTCAGTCCAGCTGTAGCATGTATCGTGCAAACTACTTAGATTAATTATCCAAAAAGGATAATTACATGTTTTCCCTTAATTGCTGTTCTGCTTAAAATATGTGCACTGCATGAACCCTGGTTCATTCAAAGCTGGACATGAAGCTTGAAAAAGTCAATGGGTATCTTTTCAATAAGTTCAGTGGGTTTTGGATTGGATCCTTCCTCCCTTTTCCCCCTCACATACGTGTTGTGTACATTGTATACGTTGTAAGAACAAGGCTTTGGGGCTATACCAAAGACCAGCCTCCTCCTGTCACAGCTGCCTGCCCACCCACCTGCCTCCTACAGCCTTCCACTTGCTGCCCTGTTTGCATAGCAGCTGCTGAGCTGCTGCAGATTAAAGAAAGCCAAAATCTCTGGCTGGCTTACTGCTTCCTTGGTTTCTTATATGAGAAGGTGTTAGGTAATAATTTGAGGAAGGGAGACTTCCTTGTCTTCTGGGTTATCTGCAGATGTAGCAGATAAAGTCCTTTACATGGTCCTTGGCATTTCTGGGGGAATCTCAATTTCTACTTTGAGAAGTGCTTGCCATGCTGTTGTTGCTGCTTCTACTTTTTCAGGGGAGTCTCCTCTTACTACAATATCATCTAATTTCACATCTGGGGAGAGTGAGACTGTAAAAGTTTGGCAATCACAAAATGTGCAGTCATGGGTGAATGTTTACATCCCTGTGGGAATGTGTCAAAGGTACACTGCACTTCCTTCTGGGTGAATTGAGCCTTGAGGTATTCCCAGAGTGGAATCATAAATAACATCTTTTATGTCTAGTTTTGCCCTCTGTGAATAGGTTGCTCCCTGAATTTGCATTACAGTACCACAAAATTTGGCACAGCAGTAGTTAAAGGTGTAATATTGGCATTCAGTCTCCTGCAGACAATGGTGAGTGGCCACTGTCCTCTCATCTTCTTCACCATTCTCCAAAGGATACAATTGGTTTTCTTATCTGTACAATGCTGGCTGGATTGGCAGCATTCTTAAGCATAATTTTTACCTTTTCTTCCAGTTTTTGCTTTATCTCCTTTTCTTTCTGTAACTGTTTGTGCAGCTGCTCAGTTTCCAAAGATAGTAACAATTCAGTTGTTTTCCTGCCCTCTATTTCCTCTCACAGATTTAGTTTCACACTGCTATGGTTTTTTTCTACCTAATTTCTACAATAATTGTTTTTCCCTGTGCTCTATCGAAGCGCGTAAAATCTTAAAATTTTCTTCCTCAGTAATAAGCTCGTTTTTGGGTTTCCAATCTTTCTTTTATTTCCCTCTCAACAGCCAATGATGACTTTAATACTTCATTTTCTGATTTCATGATAAAGCAGCATGTCCTGTATATTTGAGGGAAGAAGGACTCTTTGATTCCTTTTTGCATGTAAGATAAGTGAGCCTCCAATACTGCACAAATAATTGCTCTGTCTTTCCAGAATTTTTGAGCCCATTCCTTGCCTGCCTGGGAAGGAGCACATTCATACTTCTGTAACTGTTTCTCCATGGCAATCCTGTTGACTACACCAGTTCTTCTGTCACATAAAAAATTAGGGAAGGGAGACCCCCACCTTGCTTTCTCTGTTGTCTGCAGATGTAAGTGGGCCTGGAGGCCTTCCTTTTCTCACTCAGTATTGTCTGCCTGTCTGAGATCCTGGAAGACCTTCACAGACAACATTTCAGAGTAAGCAATCTGACACTCCGAGTCTTGTGAGGTGCCAGAGGTGCAGTAATTCTCGTCAGGACCACAAGCCCTGATGCAAAACCGGCATGCATTGCACTGAAAGTCTGGGCAAATTCAGTGAGACTCCACATTCAAAAATAGTGCAATTTCTTGCCTCTTGGACAGAGTAAGGTCCACAAACTGCTGTTGATAAAAACACTGGTATCAGAATGCATAAGCAATAGTATTACTGTGGAATAAAGCTTACCTGATGGGTGTCCCCATGGGGGAGGAGAGAGTACAGCCTGTTGAGCATCCCAGGACACAAAGGAAGAGTCTCCTCTGACCTCGCTCCCCTGTTAAGTCATATTTTATTGTTCTCTTTGAGAATGGGGGAAAAAAAAGTTTCATTTGACACAATTTCACACTTAAATGGAGTTTGAGTGACTTTATATACATGTAAAGATTGTACAGGTTTTGCTTTGTTAGCATTCTACTTGGTGCATGAAAAGGAATATGTGTTTTCACATATTCAAGCAAATTTCAGCTTTTGGTCACTATTTGGGTCATTCTTTTGGCTTAATTCCTGTCAGTTGCATTGTTTTAAACAGAGAATGACTGCAACACCTCTGTGCAATTCCAGCCTTTGATTCTTGCCTCTCTCAGACATGAAACAAGCTCCTCTGGTGTCCCTGCTGCTCAGGCATGCACAGTTTGTTCCTGCTGAATTACTGCCAGTGTGAGCACTCCTCCTTGCTGAGCTTTGTCTTTTGACATTTTTCCACAGAAAGTGCCTCAGCACAGCATGTGGCAGAACAGCTACACCCACTCCATCAGAAGATGTCCCATCTTCATAGTCACATACTTAAACCAAGGGGTCTGAGCAAATGAAAAAGGGAATTTGGTTTGAACTTCATCTTGCATTTGCCAACACACAGCACATCAGTTTATACCTCCATCGTATTATTATCTTTTGTATTGCTATAGTACAAAGATATTCCCAGGTGACATAAAAGATACTGCTGTATCTTTTCATGAGATACTGCACCTCCAGGTGGACGGGACACATTCCACAGCAGCATGACATCTAGAGCCATGGGATTTCTGTAAATGAAAAGCCCAAATGCTTGTCATCGCCACTAGCCCACAGAGAAATTTTAATTAGTGAGGTTGGATATGGTCGAATAGAACAACATAATTATTAATCCAATTTGAAAAAGACTTGGTCACAATTTATAATTACAATGTGTACCTGTCCTACTGTTAGAGAAAATTGTCTAATTTTGCAATTGAATGGAAAATTACTTCTGTATTGCACTTAGTAGGAAGTAAGGGCAAATTCCCACAACATATTAATAACGTGAGTGTTGACTGTAATGGTACTACTCAGTGAACTGTGGGTTCCTGCCCTGAGGCCCCATAACTGAAGATACCCCCCTGCATTTTCTAGCTGAGATACATTCAATAACATGTATCTGTGCTGTTGCAGCTCAGTGCAAAAAAATTCTGATGATAAAGCCTTTACATTATTCTCCACATCCAATGCAGGTACATAAGAAGCTCTCTAAACTTCTTATAGTCAGAAAAGAAATATATATGCCCAGAGAGAAAGTGTAGTATCCAATGTAGGCAGCAGCTCTGGTCTGCTATTCTGCATCTCTGTTTTTCCACTGTTTAGGGAACCATAAGGTGAGCATATAATGTGAACACCTTAAGTTTAGATGCCCAGAGTTGAAAAGGTGATTATTGCCTGCAGCTCAAGACGTACCCATTTTATTTACCTGAACAGTCACATTGTTACAGTTTTTCTTTTGTCTCGACATGCTGTAGAATACAGTGCAATGCAGCACATGGTGCTCTTGCAGGGCTTGGGTTGTGCCATCATCCCGTGGGCTAGCAGGGGATAAATCATGTCACCTCTCTGTTTCACACTTTCTCCTGTATCAAGCTCTAAAGCAGCCATCTGCCTTATCCCATGATACTTGGTTATGACAGGGTACATCTTGTGCTGTTCAAAGGGAAAAGGTTTGACACCGTGTCTGGGAATTTTTATTATCCTCTCATGACCATAGTGTCAAAACAATTTAGAAGTAAAAGATGATGATGATGATGAAGATGGTAATAAAGAAAGGAGTGCTAATACCAGTGAAGGTAACAGGTTAGTCAGGTACCTCTCCTAAGAAAAGGTGGTATCCAGATAATGACCCTGACTGACAATAATCTGGTTGGATTCTCATTTTAGTCTTTGGCAAGAAGTTGCATGAGCAGTAGCACTGGAGGAGCAAATAGGAAAGGAGCTGGTGTATTCAGGCTGCAGAAATGTGAAATAATACACAGCAACAAATTAATTCTAGGTGTTTCTCTGTGATATGTATGAACCTTCCAGTATGTCAGTGTCTGAACTTTATCAGACATTATTTTACCTGGCACTCTTACCATGTAAATAATGCCTAATTTACCTGGCATTCCTCACACTAACAAATAGTCTCATGGAACACTGGCAATGCAATAAGCAAACCCAACTAACCCAGCTATGTGCCTCTATCAGCCCAGATCTGGGTACACTTTATTAGACCTATCCAGCTTCCTGTGCATTATGGTGCGTTGCTTATGGCAACAAGCAGACAGTCTGGGAGATGGAAAAGTATAAATTTAAATTAGGGATGCACTTGCATGCCTCAGACAGACTGACTTTTTTGAATATTGAACATAAACTGATGAATCTCTGAAAGGTATATATTGTGCTTGGATCTTGTATGCAGGCAGAAGTAAGTGTTACTTTAAAACTATATTTTCACATCAGAAGTATAAAATCAAGTACAGAAAATTCCAGCTCAGGCTAGTGATGTACAATTCACAGTGACATCAAAAGGAATCTCTAATTTTCACTTTTGGACTGAAAACAGATTTATTTGCTCTGCCTTTACAGTACACACCTGCAGAGATGATAATTATAGGCAAGAAGGTTGATCCAAAGCCTACTGACATCCGCTGCCTTTGCAGCAAATAAAAGCTTGTGTCCATGCTGAATGAGACAGTTGCTCTGCATCACAGTGCTGTGTGAAGGACGCTGGAGATGTTCTGTTTATTACATAGAACTGTTTTTGTAAATTAGGGGTTAATCATCAGTGACTCTTTCTGCTGTCATCATGGAACTCACTGTACTGTTTAAAACTCTCACAGAGTAAATGGGACACACAGAAAACGTCCACGCAAGAAGTCACCATTAATGTTACAAAAGGCATCAGACAAAGTGAAAGAAGAAAAACAAAGAATTGTGCCAATTAATGAAGAAAATTGCAGGTGAGGATGGACTTAACAAAGCTTCACTGCCCTTTAAATGTCAGTCACTGAAGACATGAAGATCTCTAGGTGTTCCAGGTTGAATACAGCAGGCAGCTGCTACTGAGTGCCTCCAGAATCAGGTCTTGTGGAAAGCAGCTGCAAGCCCTGTAGACATCTTTTGTCTAAAGCAGTGGCACTACACAGACATACACAGAAATTCATGATATTTGTTTTTTACTGACTTCCATGTTATCCCATGTGTATGTCCTGTTCCACATTGCTATTAAGATGAGGCTGAATAATAAGGGGTACAGCTCATCACAATTAAAATCAGGAAATGAACAAATGAATCTGCATTTTTAGTCATAAAGCGGTTTTGAGTGTGCACATTCAAACCCACCGAGTTAATTTAAAGCAGTCACATATTTTAAAACACAAACCCAGACATATCAAGAAAGTGAGACTAAAGTCTAGTCTTCCACTAAATCTCTTTTCAACTAGATGTATAGGTTATATATAGTTAAGTCATACAGTAATGTTTTTATATATTAAATGTTCAATTACTTAGTTTTAATTTATTGTTCATATTGACACAATTTTGGTCTTAAAAACAGTAGCTTTCATATTGGTCAGCCTTACTTGAAGGTCCTAGTCTCAATGAGCAAGTAGAGTTGTGGCTACTTGGTTGTTTTATAAATGCCCCTTTGATTATGTTCAAGGCCAGTCTGACCAGGAAAAAAGTTACCATTAACATTACAAGAAAATAACCACAATTTTTAAAGTCATATTCTAATGTCAGTTCAAAAAGTTAACTTTCTTTGATAAGACATAATTAATTCACTGTGCAGAATTTATTTAATACATTGTGAGCATCCTGTACCACAGTACTCAACGATTATAGTAAATATATATCTAAAAGGAATATAAGTGTTCAGTATAATGAAGTCCAGGAATTAATTCAACATATTACTTCTTAATATGGAAGTAATAATATATATTCTCTGTGAGTTTCCATGTTTATGAAGATAAAAGAGGTAAATTTATTTGCCTCCCCTATCAGACACATATCCATATATCCATAATATACATCCATATATTTATGTGGATGTATATTAGTATCCTTAAAGGGTCATTTAAAAGAACTATTCAAAACAGGCATACAAGAATAGTATTGTGAACTGAACCCTAGTTTATTCTGTATTAGGATCATTTTAATAGCTTGCTGCTTAGGTGTGTGAGTTACTTTCCTTGCTGTACAACAAGTCTATGCAATAGGAATTGTTTATTAATTACTCCAACAAAAAGGCAAACTGGAATCCAGAGTTAGAGACAGAATTTTGCATACCATAGCATATTCTAAAGGGATTTACTGGCAGAGAGAGTGCAGTATAAACTTGTATGATACAAGAAAGCTACAGAAAGTGATTAATGATCCTGAGCTCTTGAGTCTTGTATTCCAGGCATGAGATGTGACAGGATGGTTTGCAGGAGATGGCCTTGGTACACAATTGTCTGGGCAACAGCACAGACCTTGCTCATGCTGAGCACATCCCACGTCAGGGTGGCAGCTGGAGAGTGCTGGATGCTGCCTGCTCTGGACTGCTCATGATAATGCTCCTGAGCTACTCCAAGATCCCCTAAACCTACTTATATCCTGAAACTTAACTTTATGGCATTCAAAGTTTGGATCCAACTTCTGTGGTAAAAGCCATGTTTAGTAGCAAGCAATTTTATACACACTTCTCAAGTAATACATTACTGTTCTTATTCATTAGGCATTAGTAACTGAAAAGAAATTACATTATGTCCTGGGTGGCTTCTTAGTGTTTGATGTGCAAACTTCCAATGACCTTAATAAAACTAAGAGCAAGTTGTGGAGATGTAGATCTTGTCTCTGTACACAGATTGGAATATACTTATGTTTACTTTCCTTCTACTAGAGATAACCACAAGTAGAAACAACCAATTTATAAAATAATACCCCACTCTGTACAATTAGGGTGACAGAATCTAGTCTATACCACGTTAGACAATTTAACATCCTCATAATAGATTCCCATGTTGGTTTTAGTGGAAGAAGCAAGCCCAAAGAATCACCTGGACATTTTCACTCCAGGTGGCCTCCCTAGAAATGAGGAGTCTTATTTACAGGGTCTGTTCTTTGAGCATCATCTTTCAAATACAAATGGCTCAAAGACATCAAATAAAATAACCATGTTAAAAGACATGGACTTTCAGATGAAGGACCTGTGGGGATCTCTGTCTTATATGCCAGGATTTTTAAAATGTAATTTTCCCCAAAAAGACATAATTTGTTTGATGTCTCTCGGATGCACCTGAAGATTTCTACAGGCACACTGAAACAACACACTTTCTGCTGGAATGATTTGCCAACAGATGGTGAGTTCTTATGATTTACCTAAGTCCAGATTTTAAACAGAAAGGAACTTTGTCATGTTTCCACAATTCCAACACAGTATATACATCAGATTTTCCTATATATCTTGGTATATCTTCTTCCACCATATGAGAAATGGAATAATCCAAAAGAAAGAGGATATTGTCCAAAGAAGAGAGAGGATTTACAGTTACCAATTCATCATGAGGCAAATTAATCTTTTCAAAGACTCAGTACACCTTTATCTTGCACTATTCCTTCATCTTCTCCCTTATGATTCCTTAATGTATTTCATCATTTCAGCATCACTGTAGGACATTGACTGGAAGACACACAATTTTAATGTGTGACTGAAATGATTTTGTACTGACATAAAGAGGAAACACTAATTATTGCATAAGCAATATATGAGTACTACATTAAACATGCATTCTTGTTAGTTGAATTACTGAGATTTCATAAAAACCAGGACACAGGTATTTTTGATCTTCATAGTATGTTCATATACATAGATATTATTTGTGCATGTCTCTGCATGTGTATATTGTAATGTCTTTAGTGTGTACTTCTGCAGTTCAGGCACTTTTTTTTTGAGAACCTTTAATTTCTGTTTGTAATTCTGATACCCAAGTGTAAAATATTTTAATATTTGAACTGAAGTTTGTTTTACATGCTTCATGAAAAGAATGAGATATATAATTTGTGCACAAAAATGGTATTTGAAAAAGCAGGCTTAGTTTTATTTACAAATACATCTAAATTCAAACTAGACTAATGGGAACATTTTTGTACTCTGCAAACTAATGAAGATTGACCTTAAATTTGAAAATAAAAATAAAGAACATTTTTAAACTGTCTATTTATTACTCCACTTATTTCACATTTCTGTGTGTGTGGTTGGGTTTGCTTTTAAAACTGAGTTTAAAGAGGGCAAAGGTGTAATGAATGGTTCCCACATCTGCTATTCATGGAATCAGAATGTTTCTGTATCTGATGTCCTCAGGTTGTGGCTTTTGGACTGCTTGGTCATATGAAAGAAGGTAAAATATATATATTCCTATAAGAAATCAGTGTATTTGCCAAAGAGGGATTATGAGGTCAAAATACAGTCATACTTCTGTAATTCTAAATGGGAGAGTTTGTGGTTGCTGTCATGGCTAAAGTGGAAGACACTGGGAATCTGAGACACTTTCTCTACTAAGATGCCATGAGGCAGCTATGAGGCAGCTAGAATACATAGATAAAAAAAGCTCTTATTGCTGACTGAACTGGAGAGCAAAGGATGAAAAAGTAGCTGTGGTGTTGTTTGACTCTGCCATAGAAATAAACTCATAACTTTTACAGATAATGCTTCTTATGTCTTCCAAAATTGCATTAAATTTTCATTATATTTTTCCTCACTACCAGAAAGGCTCTTGCTGAAATATCATCCCCATCCTAACTGTATGTGCCCTGGCTGTTGCCTGACAAGTTGCTTGTTCTCTTTGATTCCTGGCCAGGATGCTGACACAACAACTGGTTTGTTTCCTGTGGAAAAAGAAGAGTAGTATCAAAGGAATGGCTTTCAGATGTGCCAAAAAAGAAGAAGGATTTAAGGACACAAGGAAACCACAGTCCAGCAGTCAGGCATGTAACAGCCCAAGGGAACCCTACAAACAGGATGCTTCAAAATCTGGGATCAGACAGTACCTTGCAAGAGGAGCTTTTGAACTCAATACATTGTTTAGTTTTGGAACACTAAACCTTCATTGTCCTCAGGCCAAGCATCCCTCATTGCACCAATCCCTTCTTTCCAGACTGGCTCAGTGAAGCATGTGGAAAAGGTGCTAGCAAGAAATAAGATATACTCTAAGATGCAGGGATGCAAGATTTCATTCTGTCCTGTTACCACCCTCCAGTTTTCAAATCTTTCCTTCTGATTTTCAATTTTTTTTCAGGTAGCCTGTGCATACTATCCATAGTTAAAAGCCATTCTTCTCCCCTTTGGTAAACTAATGGCAAAGTTGGATCATTAATATAAGATAAAAAGTGAGCTGGTCCACCAGAAATTACATTTGTTGACATATGCCACTTAATCAAGATAAAGCCCAAGTTTATTTGTAACATCTCCTTGCACAGAAAAACACTAAAATCTAGCAAATACTGTAATCCTAATGGTAGAACTAGGACGTTCATAAGCAAGGAGGAAAAAGGGAGAACATAATAGCTTTTCACTTCTTTCCGGAGGATTGAATATAACTTAAGTCCTGAGTGCAAAAAGTGAGATGCTGATGTATATCTATCCATTCAAGACTGTATAAAACAAGTAGCTTTGGGTCCCTGCTTAGGAAAAAAAATGGGATTGAAGGAGAAGGAAAGAGAGAGTGGTGTCACAGGGCAAGATTGAGCTATGCTGCCAGTTGTATTAATTAGTTTTGCTTGCACACTCTTGCATTATAATCAGTATTATTCAGCTTTAATTTAATTTCCATTAACCTCTGCAAAACACCCACATGTTTGGATACAGGGAAACATGTCTGGGGTATTACTGCATGGATAGAAAAACCAGTTTGCTCACAGTAAAAAAGCAGCTGAAGAAATGGCACCATAGCTAAGCAGCAGGCTA